ACGTGAATGTCTACCAAATAATTATCGAAATGAACTTAAAATTCCTCTGTTTTGGTTTAAATCCCCCAGGGGCCCCAGGGATGGCCAAGCAGACTAATATGTGTTTATAGCACTGCGTGTTGCCTGGCAATCTGGATAGAATATAAACTTAATAACGAGTTTGCAAGAATGCTTTTAACTCTGTCATAATTCTGCCACCCTGACCCTCTCAATCGAGAAAACCCCCGTATAGCCAAAAAGATGAGGAAGGGGAGAACAAAATTAAAAAGAAAGATTTGAACCCATTAAACATTTAAGTGCTTATGTTAATTCACAGCTAACAGCTTATGCCACAGCAAATTAAAATATGTCAGTAAAGTATCTTAAAACTAAGTTGTTTGAAGAATAGAGAAATATAACCTTCCATTTGACCCAAAATTGATCCGATCAATACTTAAATGGTACTCAAAAACAAAATATTAATTTAAATAATTTGGGTAAAATAAATAAATGAAGTACTGTGTAATACTGCACTGTAAAATTATAATTTTATACTTTAATTTGCATTAAATACGTGTATACATTATTTATACATGTATTATTATTTATTTAATTAAGTAATAAATTATTTATTTATTATGCATTGTTAGAAAAATGATTTTGAGAAAATTGATTATAGTATTATTGAAGTTATTATTAGATGTTTAAACAAAAAAAATATGTAGAAAGAATTGATTGTTTTCATTTCCTATCAGTCCGTGTATACAAATGTTTACTGACCACAGTATTTACTAATATAATAGCTACTGTATTTACTATTCTATTTTTTATAACATTGGTTATTTAACTTTGTTACTAGTTCAAAAATATTAAGACAGTAATTATACAATTTCTGGTATATGCAGAAAGTTTTGGTTAAGTTATGATTGAAGCTACAATCGTTTTCCCATAAAAGAACAATTAAGTATTTATTAATAGTAACAAGTAAGTATTAAATAAAATGTAATATATTAAATATAGTATATTTAAAATAAATAAAAAAACAATTTCTATCTCTTCTCTATTAATGAGTATTAAAGTATTTTAAAATAACAATAAAAAATATTAACAATTAGAAATGTGAGTCTGTAGGATAGTCTCTTCCTTAAACTGAGAATTCAATTATGACTTGTCCCTCCCTCCCTTACTGAAACTTGGTGGAACCAAACCATCCAATTTTTATAAAAAATTACTTGTATCCCTTCATCCGATACCATGCAATTACAAATTACTTCACTTTGGCTCAAAATAAATTAAAAAAAAAAATAGAAAGGTAGCAAAAAGCAGTACCATCAAAATTAGAAAACAAACCACACACACCCACACACACACACACACTCACATACACATACAAATTGTTAATACTGAAAGTATTTGCATTTTCTTGAAACCTAGAAGATTTCAATCAATCGTTAAGAGTAGTCAGTGTATGGATTTTCTAATCTTATTTTGTAACCACTAATTAATTTAGAATAAAGAGGAAAAAACAGCTAATGCTCACTTGATTGGAAAAAGAAGCACCTGTAATATAAAACTACAAGTTTTAATTAAAAGAGAAATACCTGGAAATCATGGGGAGGGGGGGTGTATAGTGGCTAATGGGGAGAAAATAAGCAAAGTTCTCTAGCTTAGTGCTGTTTACTTAATGAACATTTCAAAGATGTTTTTTTAAATTAATCATCTCATCTGACCTGGTATCTCTGAAACAGGGCTGCCCAAAAGAGGATTTTATGGTGCAAGTTGTGCCATCAAAATATTTAAGAGGGGCATATTTTGACAGGTTTTTGAATTTTTGAGGTGAACAAATTTCAACGGAGTTATGAATTTTCGGAATGAAAAGTTTCAAAATGCAGGGCAAGGAGAAAATGTGGAACAGACCGTAGCAAGGGTAATTATGTATGATCTACGATTTTTCTAATTCTACTTTCCCTTGCTGTGAAGGGAAAGTAGAAAAGGTGAGCAATAAAATATCTTGGAAGGGGAAGGGGTAGATTCTTGGGCCTTTGACCTTTGGGGGGGGGGGGATGGGTACCTCTCCTCTGAAATAATAGAAAATACTGCAAAATCATTACTGACATAATATAGAGTGTGTGAGCTAGCTTTCTCCCTATATTATTCATATGTATACTTAAGATCCGAAAATCTACCAATATCCAGTTACATTACTTTGAAGTTTTTTATAAGTAAATATCCTCTAAACCGGCATCCTATGGTATATCATGCTTGATAATTTGTTTTAATATATATATATATTTTGGAGTAATCTCGGGAGCAGCGCGGCTTTTCTTGGTGTGGGCAGTCACCCATCCAAGTGCTAACCACACTCAGCATTGCTTAACTTTGATTACCTATTGCAAGCACCCGCTTGGCTACCCCCTAGAAATATACACATAGATATATATTTGTATGTATATATATATATATATATATATATAAATATATATAATATATATATATAATATAATATATATATAGTATATATATAATATAGTATATATATATATATATATATACTATATATATATATATATGTGTGTGTGTGTGTATAGGAGGTAACCAAGCAGGCACTTGCAATAGGCAATCAAAGTTAAGCAACGCCAAGCGTGGTTAGCACTTGGATGGGTGACTGCCCACACCAAGAAAAGCCGCGCTGCTCCCGAGATTCTGCCCTCCCAACCCTCCACTGATACGTGAAGCCCATCAGCTAAGGAGGCAACTCATACCGACCGGGGGTAGGATTGATAACCCTACCCCGTACTTTAAATCGGGAATCGGTTTTGGGCTACGAGACCACATCCAGTTCATGGTCCATAGCGCCAACCAAAAAAAAATATATATATATATATATTGACTACAAAATAACAATCATGTCTTCTTCAAGTTTATTTGCGATTGTAAGGCCCAAGGAAAAATATATATAATCTTAGATAAAGCATATTAAAACTATCATTATGTGTGGAGCAGAGGCTATTTGTCAAATATAACAAGGCATGTGCATTCTGTCAACTTCAAATTAATTTTAATGTAAGCTCACAGTTTTGTTTCCAAATCAAGTATTTTACATGATTATATACCAGTATTATTATATTATTACATTATTATAGTCCTGTGTCAGTAAGTAACTCAACACAGTTGAGCAGCATCACAATTTTATTTTATTTCTCTCTATTCTAAAGGTTTCATGAATAAAAACATGTTTTACTATTTTCTTGCTTTGTTTTTTGTTTAATTCGTTTTTTTTCTGAAATATACTATGTAATCCAAAATATTTTATAGTGTAGTGTGACTCAAGTCCCAAACATGATGGATTAACGGAAGTTTACTATAGATACTAAATTCTTAAAATGGTGGTTCATCATTCATAAACTTTACTGAAAATAGAAAAAAAAATTGGAAAGTCACAACAGAAACTTCATAAAATTATTGATTTTTTTATGAAAAATATAAAATAAAGTAGCAGAGTGGTTGAGTTATGAAAATTATTGAAAACTTTTTGGTTTAATAATTTGTTTAGCCAAGAACAAAACCAATATGATTCATTTTCAAGAATATTTTATTTTTATATTTTCAACATATCGCTCATTAAATACTTGGACCATTTAGAAAAGTTCAATATTAAAAACAGCTCTATGTATTATTATAAATAAATATTGTTGCTAACTGATTAATTACTTTATAGTATTTAGTTAATTTATTATTGATATAAAATATATTGCACTTAGTATAATGCGGTAAGAGTTCATTTATAATTATGTAAAGATCTATTTTGTGAACAATATAAAATTGATTCAAAGCTAAGTTTATTGCTGTTAAAAATTGTGTTGATTAAGAAATGAATTAAAACACAATTAAACCCTTACATATGAAAATTCTGAATACTGAAATTCCATACTTTTCAATTTTTTTTTAGAAGCCTTCTATTTTTAAAAGAAAAACATTCTGTATAACATATCAAATTGATACACAGATCAATAATTAATGAATCTCTATGTATAGCATAAATGTTTATTTTCAAAAATTAAAAATATGCTTATAACAAAAAAATGAATTAATAGCATATGTATTGAGAAATAATGCAATAGATGCATTGCAAACACACAGTTTAGGATATATTTATAACACCCCTTTACTTTATTTCTGTGAATAAAACTAAGCACTGATGTGAAACGACTTACTAATTTTAAACCCGTAATATTTTATTTTCAACTTAAGACAAATTTCTTACACTGAAATAATTTTTTAAAATATACTACAATGTGTATTCCAATGGTGAAATATTTGCAATTTTTAAACAAATAATTGTTTTCCATATTGTTTTTTTTTTTTTCAAGGATAATATATTTTATAAACATACATGTATATATATATATATATATATATATATATATATGTGTGTAATAGAAATGTAAATGTTCAACATTTACATTTTTTATAGCTAAATTTGTAATTGTGTTTTTAAAAATCAAATTGATTTATATTAATTTAAAGCTGATATCGTATAAACCAAATTAATTAAAAAATTAAATGATATAGCATATTTTATAAAATTATTTTGATTAAAATGATTCAAATGCCTTCTGTTGGAAGACTAATTTTTCTTAGTAATAAATGTTTTAATCTTAAAATTAAAGCCTTGTACGAAGCATGTATCAAGTGTGTAATAAAAAACTCAAAATTTATATTTTTTAGTTATGACATTGTTGTATTTAATGAGCAATATGAATACATTTGATAGGCCAATCCCTTTCAAGGAATGTCAACAATGGATTTATTGATACACTTGAAATGTTCCAAATAACCAAGATGATCACCTCAACTAATGATTGGAAGACATAATGATTAATGAATGTCTATAGATAATTTGTATATAAAATAAATAAATAAATAATACTATTAACTTAACTAACAATGAGTGCATTTGATTAGACATCAATAAAAGTTTTGTTCATGATATTATTTTATTTATATCACATCAACCTAATGGATTTTTTGTCAATATTATAAGGCAATACATCAATGGCAGTCACAGTTATCTTACATGATTGATACAATAGTTTTAAGTCTAACATAAACAAGGTTAAAATAGGTTAGAAAAAAATTACCATTAATTTCAAAATGAAATATAATTTTGTTGTATGAACGACAATACATTCTGTTAGGGTTCCATCAGGACTCCTGTACAAATTTTGTTGGACTCTACCTGGTCAATCCCAAATAAACTCCAACATATTGATATTTAATGTGAGAAAAATTTATTAAAATTAGTTTTTATTGTGGATTTTATGAATAACATTAATAAATCTCTTAAATGTTTGTGATTTATTACACTGTTGTTGTTCTGGTTTTCTCATATTACAAAAATGTCAAAAACAGAAAACAAATTCGAATGACATTGTTATGCTGATTAATAATCTTTTGTAGAGATTGCCTAATAAATATACATAAATGTGTCCCCTGCAAATACAATTTTAAAATAGTTCTTAGATGGCAGTGGGTAATAGCATATCTGACAAATACACTGTTAATAATACAAACACAGTGTACCATTTTAAACGTATTTCTTTCTTTATTAAAAAAACCTCATCTAATTCGTAAATGACAATAGATTTGTGACAATATTTGCAATATATAATTGTCACACAAAACACCAGTTATTCCTTTTTTAAATTTTTAACTCTTTTCAACCTGCTCTTGATAACAAAATTTTATCTTGACCTCATTAACTATGAATAATAAATACTATATTCTTTTATCATATAATAATATAAAAAATGTTTTACACTTAAAAACAAAAGGAGTGGTCTGAGCAGCGACTTCGGATAAATAAGGTGAACGCCACGACCAACTCCTCAGAAGATTGCTTGTCAAGTGATCCAAAAACCAACATCCTCTAACGGCATTTATTAAGTCCATTAAATATTTAGAAAAACGAGCAGTTAACAAATATTCTTAATTTATTACCTATATAGGAAGCCAAAATTAATCTACTTCAATAACAATATAACAATAAAGTTCTTGAAAGACTATTACTTTATATTATTTATTCAATATACGTATTTATCAAATCAATACCAAAAATTAAAAATATATTATATTCATTGAGTTGTTTATTTTAAATTATTTTGTTTAACACAACCTTTACCCCAAAATTGAAATAATTTTAAGCAAAGAACTGAAAGTTTACTTCTATCAAGTAATTAATAAAATGAGGAAAATTAAGACAAAATAAATCATGCATAATCTGTGTTTTCGACATTTCAGTCTACTACACACATTTCTAGAATTCCCATACTAATACTCCATTACTAATAACTTATAATATTCATCAGAATTTATGATCAAGCCTGTTTTCTATAAATATCCCATTTTTTATTTTATTTTGGCACAGTGTTTGGCATAAATCTCTTTACTATTGATAATCCGGATTTCCCCACAAGCCTATACCTTCAACAATCACAAACAGTATTACCATCAATACTGAAAAAAATGGGCAAAAATGTCATTTCTTTTAAAAAACTTTAAATCTAGTTAAACCTTTCGGTAAAGAAATATTCACTATAAGAAATTCCAAAAGTCCCTCTGGAACTTTTACAAATAATTTTTTATTAATAAATTGATTTTATTTATAAGAAAAAATATTAGAATATTCATCTTTAGAATATTTGTCTTTTTTTAATTTTTTTTTTAGTTTTTAGTTTTTTTAAAGTACCTCATCCATTTTAAAGGGACAAGATATTAAATTCTATGATTGTTTAAAAACCACATTTTTTTCCATTTATTAAAAATGTGTGAGCACAATGCAAAATTGTTACAACGGCTTGGGCTGGCTGAGCGATCCGGCGCTCGATAATAAAACAATTCTAGCCCAAGCCCAAAAACAGAACAATTAAATACCAAACTTCACAACCTTGTCCATTTCGGGCGGGGACCGGCCACCCTTCCCATCCGACTGCAAAAACAATTTAATTCCTTACAATTAATAATAGTCTTAAAATACCCGTTTTATTTATTTTTCACTAATCCAATGAAAATGTAACACTATATGTCCAAAAGGAAAACTCTTGGTAGAATTCCGACTGGGGCACAAAAGTCGTCCATATATTTTGAGCTCAACAAGACTGTAAAATATGTTTTTGTTCGTTCAAATTAAACATCTAAATCCTACGAATAAGTTTGTGCTAAGGACTCGGGCCCGAGCTTCAATCGGGTTTCTGCTAGGCCGGGCACCACCTCCTCACGCATAATTCACTAAAGTCAAGTTATTTTTGAGGCTATTCGCTTCTTTGGCAGTGGCTATGTCCTGATTGTCTATATTCTATCGTCTTCTTCTTCTTCTTCTTCACCGTCTTCTCTCTGCTCCTCCTCCTTGTAACCGGGGTGCTCCGATATGGCATAGTAATTTCCGTTGTATATGACCCCCAGTTCGCGGAGTACATCTCCTCTGATAGTTGCTTTGATCGTCCAGTTATAACAGTCCTCACTTTCTGACTCTCTGTCCAGTCTTTCCACGTCGAGGATTTTCGATGACAGCCTTTCGAGGATGATGCCGATATCCTTGATCGTAAGGTGTCTCTTTTGGTCGACTGACAGCTGATCGATGAGGAGGAGGAACTTCTCGGATGTTGCCGCCTCCTCTGCTGCGGTCTCGGTTTCTGATTCCGAACTATCATGATCTTGGTGGTGGGCTCCCTCGATGTCGAGGAACCTAACATGTCCCTTTGCACCCGAACGGACCCCTCTGATTGATGATCCTGGGTGTTGAGGCGAGGTGGATAGAGAGTCCTGTATCGGTGACGTTGCAACCGACTTGTGGACGGCGATCTTCCTTCCCTCTTCGTGTAACGAGCAGCAGTGGAAGTCGCACTCTGTGTTGTTGCCCGGAGATCCGCTCCTCTGAGGGTGGTGTGTATGATTGGAGCATTCCTGTGTGTGGATGTGGGTGCTCTCGAAGGAGCCACCCTGCCTTGTGAGCTTTGGTGGGTATACCTCGTCATGGTTGATGACGGTGATTTGTGGTGAGGTTGAGTACCTACCAGGTTGGTATACGTCATTAATGACAGTCTCCTTTTTCCCTGTCGTACTATCTACGCTGGTTTGGATGACCAGTGATGGCTGTTTCTTTGGCGGCTGTGGGGATGCCTCTTTCCTCTGCTGGTCCCAGTGCAACACCACAGTAACTCGTCCCTTGTTGTCCATAATTTTCCACGAAGGTGTTTCATTCTGAAGGTCTAGTGCATGTATCGTCTCGCACACGATCTTGGGGATCGCCGAGATAGCTGAAATAAAAACAAATTATTAAATACTGTTAGAGTAAAAGCTTAAAATTCAACAGTTTCTAGAAATTATATTAATTCACTATTCTAATTATATAATCACTAAAATATATACTATCTATTTCAATAAAAATGAATATTTACTTTAGATGAAGATTGTTAACTTCCAGAGGTTCTTCTGTCTGTACAGAATGAATTGACTGTGTGAATAATACTGAACTTACGGTTTTTTGTTGTTTTTTAAAAGATGGTTTAAATTTTATAAGCTAAAAATATTCTGATGAGACATTGTTCTGCTTAAATAAAATAAATTTAAAGCTACTATAAATCATTGAAATACTTATATGATAACGAGGATACTGTGTATTCAAAATAGTTATATAATTTATTTCTTGATTATAAATTGTTTCAAAACAAGTTAATCATTTAACTCAAATTTTGAAATAATCAACTGATCAAGAAGTTGATAGTAGCTCAGAATACATATATTTATGAATGATTAGAGATATATGTGCACAAATATTTTGGTAAAGATTTCCACTATTATTCATAATAATAGATTAATTATGTTTTTAATGACAACTAGAAAACATTTATAAGGTTAAAATCATAAGCTGATATAAGAGAGATACTAAAAATATTCTATTCAGATTATGAAATGTAATGCAAACATGTAGGTAGGAATTATTAGACATTATTAATCTTTCATGTAGATAATATTGGAGGAAAAAAAACCAATGATAAAAACTGATACCAAATATACAGGATAGCATGCATATGAACTAAATTATGCAGGACAAAAGATAAATATGTTACTGGTAATCATTCATCTAATAAATACTGTTAACAGAGTCTACTGGTTAGTACAATTGGTTGATGCCTCCAAATAGAAATAAGAGTCCCCTTTTTCTTTGGTAACTCTTAGGTTTTGGGATAAAAATATCTAATTATTTTTAAATTAACACTGATAAAAATAATCATTTCTAATCAGAAATTCATAATAAAGTTTCACTGTTTACTTGTACAGTTATTATGAGAGAGAAATTTTTATCTGATTGAAAGCAGGGTCAGTAATTTTGTTCAAATGTTATTTGACATTAAATATACAATAATGCAAATCCATATACATATTGTATTTTGATATAACATAATCTGTACTTATTTTTTTCGGGGTTTTCCCGGGCAGGGGATTAATATCAGATTTAAAAGCTCCCCCGACACCGGGACGCAAACTCGTGACTATTTTTATCAAATTATCTCATATATCAGGTTGCTGCCATTGACTAGCTATTATCCTGGGTATCATTCCGTTATTTCATAACTTTTATTACATTTAGTTGCAGACCTGCACTAACTTACTATGTATGATTAATTGGCTACTATTCTGGTAAGTCACATTTAAAAAAAAAAAATAAAATTAATTTTTCTGGTAAGATAAATTTTGTTTTTAAACATTTATTATTCTTTTTTAATTGTGAAGATATTTTTAGCTGCAGAAGTTGGTTGTATTTTTCATTTTTATCTACTTCATCACCCTTCCATCACCTTATCATTCACCCTTTTCTTCTGCATGGTAGTTTTTGGTGCCTGCCAACGTCTTTCTTCTGGACCTAACCCATATTCTTTCTAAAAACTTTCACAACTCTTAATTCTCAAATCCTTATTCTCCTTCCTTGCATCCTTCATCATTCTGTTTATGTTTGGTAGTTGACTTTGACTTCTCGATTTTCAGGCATATAGAAAATTGACCAATCATGAGAAATTGACAAAAATACTTCAGCTGCTGATATTCTATTAACACTATCAGAATGAGATTCGATCATAATGAATCTTTTACAAAACATTTTTTCTCGTATATCCTTATATAGCCATTTTTCCATTTTCCTTAAAATGCCCATCTCTGTCTTTTTCAATTATTGGCTAAAAAAACTAGATCATTGGCAAAAGAAAGTATTTTCTAAAGTTGTTTGGGATTTCTAAATATTGGGTGATAAGCAGAAATGGGCAAATGCTACTCTGAGTACTGAGTACCAAGTATTCACTCAAATACTGACCTATTTTGAGAACCAAAGAATTTAATTACTACTTCAGTTGATGTCAAACAATTGGTAATCGGTACTCAGAGTAGCATTTGACCATCTCTGGCAATAAGTCCTCAGGGACAATGTCAAGGACTACATATAAAGCATGATACTTCCTTCAAGGCTGTTGAAGTTTTTTCATAATGTATCTCAAGAAGCTCTTTGTATCATTGTTTAATCTTCTATTAAGATCTCCTGATTTTTGATTAACGAATCCCTTTCTATTGTTAGATTTTCTTACTATGTGAATGTGACTGTTTCTTTTTAATTGACAATAATAATTAAATAAATTAACTGTTTCGCATATTTCAAGTATTTAGTATATGGTTTTATTATAAATAATCAAAGTTAACAAGATTCTTCTAGAATTGTAAGATATATATGATAATAAATTACAATTGAAACCTGTTCCTCTACAAACCATAAATGACTGGGTTTTCAGTTCTTGATTTGGAAGTTCAATTTTTAACTAACGGCTAAACATAAAAGTACTGAGGCCAGAATTAAGCTCAAAATCCAATCAATGTCCTGGTACCCACATTATAGATGCTGAGTATGCCCAAGAAAAGTCTTCTAACTTTCAAGTAGAGTCACTACAGATAGAAATGAAAATCAAATTTAGCAATGAATGCCTTATGCACTAGTTTAGCTCTTATGCTAAGTCAATTACTGAATTATGTAATTATGTTTTATAATACATATAATTCCTGAGAATGACTTAAATCCATATTAAAGTGCATATAAAACGCGACTAATTAGAAAGATGACAATATTTGAATAAATCCATATTGCACAAAGATATTATAGCCATATAATATTAATGGCCAATTTTAATCAATATAATGAGTATATTTCTTTCATTAATTTAATGATATCACAGATTCGTACGAATTTGAAAGATATTAGGTGTAGGGACAGTATCTATTTGGGGATCAGGAACTATAACAAGATATCCCATGACATAAATTTTAATCCAATACATGATACCATAAAATGTCTCTTATTTACTAGATTACCTTTTGGGTATTGTACCTTAAAAAAACTCTTAAGTTAAACATTTCTATCCCAAAGAAGGGGACATTAATTGTGGATGTCCTAGACTTTCAGCTCACAACTGCTGCCCTCGGTACCTGTGAAGACCCAAGTCCTGGCTTGTAGTTCCCTCTATCACCGTACCTGTACGTATGACGTCAACTCCTGTAGGGTACCACCGCTCTCCCGGCCGAAGCAGGAGGATCACTGTGTGGTTGGCGAGAGTCTTGAAGTATTCCCCGTCTTCTACTTGTGTACCATCACTTTCAAGCACTAATCTCACCGGCTCGTTTGCCGGAATCTGAAGCTTCTCTTTTCCTAAAATCGAAAAGAAAATATTTGATATCGTGATTTGATATTTAGTGATTTAAAATAAAATAAAACTTTAAAGACTAAGGAAATAAAGCATGTAATAATGCTTAGAGAACTTGAAAGTTATATATTATACTGATGAAACCTACCTATATACCATCTCTACACCTGCATCAGTCTAGACATAAATGTACAAGATGTACAAGATTTATTTGTTAACATTCATATGACCGAAGTCTATTGATCCACCATTAGTCATCTAGTATAATATATATTTTTAACCAATTTTATTTCAATACTAACTTCTTTACCAGTGTACATTGATATAAGTAATGGAATGTAGTTGAATAGTTTCTGCATCTTCACTAATTATTATCAAATCATTTCAAAATTTAAAAAAGGTATTTTGCTGCCTAAAGTTAAACCTGTTTTGCTATGGATTATGTTTTTCTAATGAAGTATCATTATGTTTAGTTAAATATAGCAACAGAATATTAAATTAATTTAAATAAGATGCTTTAAATTAGTGCAGAAATTGAAGTTTTTTAGTAAGATTCATCAACTTCAAATGAATTTTCTCTAGGAATGAATCACCCTCTGATCTTAGAAAAAGAAACAATATTCATTAATAATTTTCTGTCCATAGAAATTAAAAGCACCTCAGATAGTACTGACACTGGTCTAGACCATCCATAGACAGGTGCTTATCAGGATCACAAAAGTGTACGGTATGGTTATGAACACAGAGATACTTGCGGGAGACAAGGGTTTCATGGTGGCATTCGCGAAGTTGTGCCGTGTCCCACAGCTGCTGAAAAACCAAATATGTGGGTATGGGACCAGAAGTGCAATTTGGAGAAACTATATTAGTTGGCTTATTGGACATTAGTATATATATTGGTTGAATATGCACTCCTAATTAATGGGAAAAATATAGTATAATCTATTTTAGAGGAAGTCTGCATTGGCCAAGTATGTAGGTAAAGAACCAAACTCAAGATGTTCTAGGCATAAAAGAAAACAAATGTTGTCCATTTCAACTGTATGGGACATTAATTGTGGATGTCCTAGACTTTCAGCTCACAACTGCTGCCCTCGGTACCTGTGAAGACCCAAGTCCTGGCTTGTAGTTCCCTCTATATGACCGTACCTCCTGTTTCCCACCGTACCTGTACGTATGACGTCAACTCCTGTAGGGTACCACCACTCTCCCGGCCGAAGCAGGAGGATCACTGTGTGGTTGGCGAGAGTCTTGAAGTATTCCCCGTCTTCTACTTGTGTACCATCACTTTCAAGCACTAATCTCACCGGCTCGTTTGCCGGAATCTGTTTATGATTGGTGGGCTGTTTATGATCCCTAATATGAATAGTAATATGTTGCTTACACAAACCTTACCGATATACAGAGGCAGGCCATAGAAGAGGAACTGCACGAAACCATAAGAACTGGTAGACCAAAATTTTCCAATTTAGATTTATGATAGTTTATTATTATCCTAATTGGTTTCAAAAACTAGATAATTGCTGCTGAAGATCAAGATATTAGCTGGAATCTAACCCAGGAGGTCTTGATCTAGAAATGAATGGTGTAACAATAATGGAAAAGAAGGAAATAATCAAGGAGATAAGCAGAAGAAAAAGATATTGTTTCCCTTTTCAGAAGTTGGCTGTATCTCAATTACACTTAAAGTCTCAATATATACCGGTATCAATTTAATCCATAGCACAAGCTGAGGCATTTGTACCAGTGGTAAAGTTGTTACCACATTATTGAAAACAATTTCATAGGTTTTCACAGGACTAGTGTATTTTATTTTTTCGAGGACAAGCAATAAGCTATGTCTTACGATTAAAACTTATATCTAAACATAAGAAAAGTCCATTTCATGACGTTATTAACTTCAACATTACCTCTTTGTTCTAAATCCTTAAGGTCTTTAACAACTAATGATTTTCGCACATTTCTCCAGCTATCCCAGATCTTAAATGGTCTCTTCCCCCTCAGCTCCTGAAACATTATTTTAAATAATTTGTGTAAGTGACTAGAATAGAGTACATTAAATAAATTAATTACCTACATGGATATTAACCTCCTGAGAAGTATAAAATTAACATTATGAAATATCCCAAATAGAAAAAAATCTATCATTGGGGTATCATTTTTTTTTAATGATTCATACTTTATCTTTAGATTAAATAAATGTTATATAATACATATTTTAAGTACAATCTAAAAGTAATTAATGGCATTTAATAAATTAAACCTATTTTAATGGTTTTTAAATATTTTATCTGAAGTGTGCTAAATGGGAACTATTTTACATTGACTTTCAATGTTACAAACCCTATTTCAATCAAAAAATAAAAAAACTATTGTATGCATTTTTGCAAAAATAGACTTGGTGTCAATTAGAAAATTAAATATACAAACCTTAAAATAACTGAAGTGGTAAAATGTATAAAATCATGAAATTTGGTGAAATTTTGTTCTTTTGATATTTTCTGCAATACCAAAAATTTTGGAACTTGTTGAATTCTCAGGATTGGTTTTTCGATTGCCGAGGGCCTCTGAGCCAGAACAGCCCCAAAAATTGAGTGGCCCCAAAAATCATTGTCTTGTATTTTTCTAGTATCGTGGTATGTTTTGCCCCAAAACAAATTATATTGAATTGATTTATTTTTGTAAATATTTAACTCCCTTCTAATGGACCTTAAAAATAATTGTTTTGTATTTTTTATCTCCGTGGAATGATAAGTGATGGCCGCTCGATAAATCCCATAAATCATTGTCTTATATTTTTCAAGTAATGCGGTATGTTTGGCCCTAAAAATATTTGTTTGTACATTTTTATTTCCATAAATGTTTGGGGCCCTTTCAGTAGACTCCAAAAATATTTGTTTTTTATCACCGTAGAATGATTGGAGGCCCCCTACCAGCATTCCAAAAATCATTGTCTTATATTTTTCTAGTATCGTGGTATGCTTAGCCTCAAAATATTTTTTTTATTTTTTTATTTTTTTACCACAGTATGTTCGGGACCCCTTGGGCGGGTCCCAATAATATTTTTTTCCTATAGTATGTTTGCTTTTCCCCTCCTACTGGCCCCAAAAATCACTGTCTTATAGTTTCGTTGTACTGTGGTATGTTTTGTCTCCAAAATATTTTTCTATACATTTTTTTTTTCATAAATGTTTGGAGATCCCTCCGGTGGACACGAAACATAATTGTTTTTTATTACCGTAGAATGATTGGAGGTACCCTCAGAGAGCTTTTTTAGTACCGCGGTAAGTTTGGCAAAAAAAAAAAAAAATTCTGCACTTTTTATTGTATTTGTGGCCCACTCAGTAGATCCCAAAAATTATTGTTTTGGTTTTTTTTTATTTCAGGAGTGCGTTTGGGGCCCCTTATGCAGGTCCAAATATATTTCTTTTATTCACTCAGTATGATTGGGATACGTTCGGCGGAACCTAAAAATTACTGTTTTATATCTTTTTAGTACTGTGGAATTTTTTTATTTCCGGAACTTTGTTAGACCACCAAAGATATTTTTTTTACTTTCCTACCTATACTAGGTAGGCGATCGAGTCAAATTTCCGATTTTCGGTTTTCGACGGATCTATACTTTTCAGTGCCCTCTGAGTCCGAAAAACACATTTTTAGCCATAGATCTATCTGTCTGTGCCAAGATTTTATCGGGAACTAGTGAACCGATTTTGTTGCTTCTCATTTTATTTTGTAGGGTTCCGACTACTGATGCCAGTGACATAAATTGGATGCTCCATGCGAAATAAATAAAAAAAACTAGACTATAGACTATAGCGCGAAAACGGCTAAATTCCCTAAAAAAATCAGAAAAAAAAGTTATAAAGAAAAAAAATGTGTTGAGGCCTAACTCGCTAAATATATATTCTATGCTAAAATTGCACGTTGACCGTTGCCCACATCACACAACCTTCACTATTTCCAATACTTTTAACAGAAATTATTGTTTGACAAAATTAGACTATGGCAAAAAGTTTTTGATCTAACCAATATAAGAGGGTATTGAAATTTTTACACTGATCTACCTTAAGCCGGTTTACATTACTTTAGTTTATCAAGTACATCGTACTCAAGTATTTTATTTTATCAATTTTCAGGAAAGTAAATCTAATTTAATTTTTTGCGTTTCTTCAAGGACCTATGTAAAGATATAAAATCTTTTCTGAAATAGGTAGGAAAGTCGTGTGAGTGGACACACCAGATTTTATAATTTGTAATGCTGTCGTGTTTGGTTGCTTCTAAGGACAATGTAATGTGTATTTTTTTTTTATTACTGTGGTATGTTCGGGAGCCTTAGAGAGAAATGCAAAAATAATTGTTTTGTATTTTTTTTATTAACTTAGTATGTTTGTGAGATAGTAGCCAGATATAGTATCAATGTTCTACTCTTGCCGAAGTTCCTGTTGACTAAAGGCAGAAAGGAAATAATAAATGAATAAATTAAAATAAAAGTCAAAGATAAATTATAAAGCAGACGGAGCCAAACATTTTTTTATATCTTTATCTTGATGACGGAACTGAGAAAAGAAACGAAAATCTAGATGCCAATAAAAAATCAGTATCTAAATATGAGGAGAAACATTGCTAATGGAAAACTTACTCATACAAAAATAAAGCAGATTATTAATCCATATTCATTTCCTCTGACATAAGAATGCAGCAATTCACAGGAGGGGTACAACAACCATGTTACTACAGCACCCATTGCACCCATTGTGAGATAGTACGAGGATGGCTTCTAGTGATGGTGGATCACACATTACCAGGTATCCGAAACCTAAGAACCTTTTCTTGAGGCCGTAAACATCTCAGAACCAAATGGTTCTCTCATACTGTAATTAATCTCGTCCTTTCCCCTCACCCTTTGCGGTTCTCCCGCCAACTAGATCAGAGATACCAGATTCCATGCTGGGGATGCTGTGAATTCATGTGATCTCTTGTTGTCCAGCTTCAATTGATCGTCTTTCTGCTGGCTGAGGGTACTATGATTAAAGCTTGTTCTAGAGTTTTGTGACTTCAGGCAGACACACCACAGAATTTTGACGGAGAAATAATAACGGTCAGAGAAGTTTTAAGCAGACTATTAATTCTCGGCCCGAGACAATCACATATAAGTGTCCTATATCGAAGCAGACATCTATTGAGAAGTATGAGGTTGTAGATAGAAAGAAATCGGGACGAATGGTCGTAAATTTCACAAAAATGAACCCAGAGACAGCATACAAGTGAATTATCTTACACTAAGCATACATACATACATATAAGGCTCTACATCCCGTCACCGAGACTGGGCCTCCTCCAAAAGCTTTCACCAGTCAATACGATCAGCTGCAGCAGCTCTCCAGTTTCGGACTCCCAGTAGAGCCCGTGCGTCCGATTTCACTGAATCCTCCCATCTTACATTTGGCCTGCCAACCTTTCTTCGTCCATGCATCTTTCCGGACAGCATTTTTCTGGGTATCGCCGAATCATCCATACGTGCTACGTGCCCGGCCCATCGAAGTCGTCCTAACTTTATAAACCTCAGCAAGTCTATGTCCTTATAAAGGCAAACGAGTTCGGCATTTTTCCTTCTTCTCCAAATTCCACCCTCTCTAACAGGACCCAAAAATCCTTCTCAAGATTGATCTCTCAAAGATCAGAAGTCTATTTTCATCTTGCTTCTTTAATGCCCATGCTTCTGATCCATAAGTTAAAACAGAGCGGACCAAGGTTTTGTAGAGAGTGATCGTGGTCCTGCTAGAGAGGAACCTGCTTCCAAAGTGTTTCGAAAGGCCAAAGTAGCACCGTCTCAATGTTGCTATCGTTCTGTTGACTTCTCTAGAGATGTCGTTTTCGGAGTTGACCTCAGACCCGAGGTAAACACAAAGCTGCATACCTTTTCGAAATTAAATGTTTCAGCCACAAAAGATCCGGTCCCTGGCCCATCTCCTCCGACTCTCATTTACTGGGTCTTAGCTTCATCAATGTGTAGCCGAAGTTTCTTTGCTGGATCTTCTATGACCAAGAACGACTCTCTTAATGCACGTTCCGATCTGGCGGCAATATCAAAGTCGTCAGCGTATCCAAGAAGCTGAACGGTACTGTTTAGAAGGGTTGCGTGGAGTTGGATATCGGACATACGCACTGCTTTCTCTGCAGCGAAGTTAAAAAGAAGACAGGCTAGAGCATCTCCCTATCTTACACTGCAGTTATAATCAAAGTCCTCCGAGAAGTCACTTCCCACTCGTACTGCACACTTTGAGCCTGACATCGTCATTTTCACGAGCCGAATCAGTTTACTGGGACGTTCATTTCCAACAGGGCCTGATAGAGCTCCGGGCGAGTTACACTATCGTAGGTGGCTTTAAAATCAATGAAGAGGTGATGGGTAACTGTTCTATACTCCTTGCATTTCTCCAGCATCAACCTCAGTGAAAACAGTTGATCCAATGTGGACCTCCATCGCCTAAATCCCGCTTGATATTTGCCTATCTCCCTCTCGGCATGAGGAACTAGTCTCTCAAATAGTATGTTAGACAGAACTTTATAAGCACATCAGAGAAGCACTATCCCTCGATAACTGTCGCAATCTGATTGGTCCCCTATTCTTGTGCAGTGGGTAGATAATTCCTCTTTTTCACTCCTCAGGCATTTTCTCTTCTTCCCATATCTTCAAAATGAGGTTATGGAGCTCCTTTCTTATTTGCATTCCTCCATAGGGTATCAGCTCCGCTAGAATTCCATCCAGTTATGGAGCCTTGTTGTTTTTAAACTTCGTTATGGCCGTTTCTATACCCTCATCGTCCGGTGGCTCGGCATCGTTAGAGAAGTCGTCCTCTTCTCTGGCTATTTCTTCTTCAAAGTTATCTCTTTGAAGCGCACCGCTGAAATTCCTTGCCCATCTCTTTAGAATTTCACCTCTCTCCGTCAACAGGTTCCCGTCCTCATTCTTGCACGTAGTAACTTTTGGTTTGAAGGCATTA